AAACGGGAGTTCGTTTAAAATACCACAGCACAAATGCTGATTCGCGGCAATATTGAAGATTGCACCTCCGGTGAAGGCTGAAAGAGACAGACAGTTTTGCTTGTGTTGATGGTGAGCCCAAATTTTGCCGCTGTCGAAGCCAGAGCACTAGTCATGTACTGCAACTCATCCGCGCTGTGTGAAAACTGCACAGTCGTCAACAAACAGCAATATATGGATAGTTGTCAAATAGACTGCAGTCCTCGCACGGAAACGACGGATGTTCAGCAACCCACCATCAATACGGTGCTCCACACGAACACCGTAAGCACACAAGCCGCATCAAAAGCACAAGACAACATTGCATGAGATATATATATTAAACAGGGCAGGAGTTAAGACACAGCATTGCTTCACACCAGAGCCAACTGCCAAGTCATCCGATGTCTCTCCACTTAGCTGCACCCACGCTCGCGTGCCACTGTGCAGACATTCAATGGAAGTTACAAACTTACGCGGGCAACCAAACTTACCCAACACCAGCCACAATGCCTCGCGGTTCACCGTATCAAATGCATTGGTGAAATCAACAAAAAGGGTAGTAAAATGGCTGGTGTCGTTCTCCGCACTTCTCTTGCAACTGACGAGCCGCAAACACCATATCTATAGTGTTGCGACCCGAACGGAATCCACATTGCTCTTCCGCCACGTTAGGTACCACAACCTCACTGAGGAGGCGGTTGAGCACGATGCGGGTAATCACCTTGCCTACACAAATCAGCAAGTTGATGCCACGATAATTCGTGCAACATTGATTTCTACTTTTGCCATTGCACGGTGGTAGCACAAGGGCATCCTTCAGCTCAGCAGGCACCTCCTCCTCAATGCACACATGTTGCACCAATTGGTGCAGCGCAGTCAGCAACGCGGGTCCACCGTGTTTCAATACTTCAGGTGGGATCCCGTCACCTCCGGCACATTTGCCGTTTCGCAGCTGAGCAAGTGCTCTCTGCGTCTCATCCAGTCTCGGCGTATCCGCCAGATCCGCCTTCACATCGTGCTGCTTCAGGCCATTCAATGTAGGCCAGTCGATCTCCGAACGGTTGTTCAAGAGACAGTCACAGTGTTTCCGGCAGACCTGCATTATGTCTGCAGTGTGGGTGCAGGTAGCGCCTGAACTACCATCGATCATTGTCCTCAGCGGCTCCAATCTCCGTCTATACACCACCTTCAAGGAGTCAAAGAATTCCTTGTGTTTGCGGCGTTCGGCGTAGCGTTCCATCTGATTCGCCTTCTCCGTCCACCATGCATTGCTTTTGCGACGGAGCTCTCGGGTCTGTCGCCGTCGAAGTTTGCGAAACTGACTCCTCTTCCCCAAGTCACTGGAGTCTGCCACATGTGCAGCAAATGCTGCCTTCTTCTCTGACACCAATGTGCCAATCGTCACATTGTTGTCATCAAATCAATCAGGCCGCTTACAGTTTGCACGCCCGATGGTCTTCTCGGCAGCAGCTGTCACCTGGTCTGGAATGTGGTGCTACACGTCGCCCACTGTGGCTATGCAGTCCACATCGCACAGGCGTGCAGCCATCGCCTTCTCCAGCCCAACACGTTTCGCCAAAGTACCGAGAGAAGGTTAACTTTACGCCGATTCACGGCGGGAGTGCAATACATCAATTTACGAAAATATATGTACAGTTTGGGCCGCACCAATTTGTAATCGGTGCCACCCTCAGCTCCACGCAGTACCCGTGTCATGCGCACTTCACGCACATCACGCTGACGTACGAAGACAGTGCAGCAGGTGAGCGTGACCACTCCGTGGGTGCGTCCAAGTTTCTATATCACTCGCACTCAGTGCAAACCGAGTGTTCGTGATCGTCAGGCCGTGAGTGGCCCACAGTGAGAGCAGCCTGTCACCGTACTCATTCGCTGAACCAATGCCATGCGCACCGATAACATCTGTGCACGCTGGTGCATCACGCCCAACACGCGCGTTGAAATCACCCAGCAGAAATGGTCGGTCGCTTTTGGGCTTTGCGCGCCGGCATACGATTTATTTGTGAGCAATCGCACGCCTGGTGGTCGTTGTGCTTCGGAGGTTTGCTTGAGGGACTCCACCCGGAGCCTTTAGCTCAATAGCCTGACCCATAAGGCAGTGGGTGGTTTGGAGGTTTGCTTGAGGGACTCCACCCGGAGCCTTTAGCGCAACAGCCTGACCCATAAGGCAATGGGTGATTCGGAGGTTTGCTTGCGGGACTCCACCCTGAACCTTTAGCTCAATAGTGTGACCCACAAGGCGGTGGAGAGCAGATCCAGCTCGAGAATGTGATTTCAGAGACAGATTGGGATCTGCTTGACTGCCGTCACACGCATACTTAGAGGTTTTGGAACAATTGTCATATGTTTTGCGACCGTAATTGTATACGCATCTGCAACCACGGCCAGACGCAGGTGGGCTTTTGGCGGGTTTGCACCAATTTGACCAGGGGCTGCCTGGCTTGAGGCGGGCAGTAACAAACCATTGAACACCCGGAGGTGTGTTCCCACCGTCAGAGACAATGCTTGGCCCTGGTTCTCTTGGCCAATCCAGCTGTGAGATTATAACCCGTAGACCTGTTGTCTCCCATGGCTAGGTTTTACGGGAAGAGGGCCATCGACCACTTCCTGACCTCCGGAGAGGATGGACTAGCATACTGCCAGGGCGGCCACACCTGACAGGAGAACGACTGGGGTCCTCAGCGAAATGATTTGATTAAATGAGCACCCGAAAGGCCTCGGGTGTAGCACATGGTCAGTTCACCGACTCATGCGGATTGGTGTCCTGGAGGTTAGCAGGGAGAAGGGCGAAACCCATTTCCCACCAGCGGTCGCCACGTGGAGGCGCCCAGGACATGAGACTAGCGCGCACCAGTAGCAGCAGTGGGTAGACCATTTGTCGGGATGTAGCCAACACCAGCTTCAACGCACCATAGGCTCTCCTGCGATATATATATATATATATATATATATATATATTGTAGCATACTGCGACAGCTTATGCCTTATGCGTATAACAGTTGAAATAATTGACCAGGATCCGTATGAAGGGCCTTCCAAATAATATCCTGTTTTGATTATCGTCTTCCATACGAAATCGGCCTAGAAGGAATGCCGTTTTACATAAGTGAACAGTCCCCTATATAAACAAATGCAAAGCTCCGTGAATGGCAGGTTAAAAAATAGTGAAATCTGATCGTCAATGTGTGCCCAACAGGTGATTAACCTCTGCTATTGCGTGTCACTGTGCGTACCATTGCGGCTGGTGAAACCGCTCAGACGTAGGTGGCTCTGTGCGGGCACTTAATGAGCAGCCTAGTGGCGGTGCATGTCGGTGTCACTGCAAAACATCATGACACAATGATGGCACTTCTTACCTGTAGGCAACTGCGCGGGGGTGGGGGGGCTACGCAAGCACACAGGGCGGTGGCGGCTGCGTCGGACGTGGACTCAGTGGCGGCATGTAATCGGGCAGGCTAAAGGGGCGGTGGCATGTCGGGCTTCACCTAGGTCCCCCCTGATTACAACATCAGGATGGCTTTCCTTACCTGTGAACAACTGCGATTGCAGGTTAACATGGCGGTGGGGCGATGCCGTCGGAGTCGGGGTCGGTGGCGGCAGATGAATGGGCAACGAAGGGGCGGTGCATGTCCGGCTTCACTGGCGAAACCAAGTTTACACACAGGATGGTTTTCCTTAACTGTGAACAACTGCGATTGCAGGTTAACATGGCGGTGGGCGATGCGTCGGAGTCGGCTCGGTGGCGGCAGTGAATGGGCAACGAATGGGCGGGGCATATCGGCTTCACTGGGAAACAAGATTACACCAGGATGGCTTTCCTTACCTGTGAACAACTGCGATTGCAGGTTAACATGGCGGTGGGCGATGCGTCGGAGTCGGCTCGGTGGCGGCAGTGAATGGGCAACGAATGGGCGGTGCATGTAGGCTTCTCTGTAAATCAAGATTACACAATGATGGCATTTCTTACCTGTGAACAACTGCGATTGCAGGTTAACATTGCGGTGGTGGATCCGTCAGAGGTGGCTCAGTGGCGGAAGTGAATGGGCAGGCTATGGGCGGTGCATGTCGGCTTCATTGTAAAACACCATTGCACATAGATCGGATTTGTTACCTGTGAAAAGCTGTCATTGCAGTTTCACGTGGCGGTGGCGAAGCGCCCGAGGTGCCTCCGTGTCCCACTTGTATGAGCATACTATCGGCGTTACATGTTGGTTTAACTACAACACCAAACTACACATGCATCCTAATTCTTACCTGCGATGACCTATGACAGCGCGTACTAGAAAAACATTTCTCCGTGTATACGCGTTCCGGTGATAAACGAAAACCATGAAGCAAGAGAACGAATAACTGTGAGGATGCTTCCAAGAAATTTGAGGTCCTGTAAGCATGGGTAACACACATTTATCTAAGTACCTACCGGTACGTAGGAACACATGCACTGTCATTGATTTCCGCTGCATAAATGACAACCGAATTACGGTGGCTAAAGGACCGTCCGTAACGGAAATACTAGGAGTAACTTACCGTTGCACAATGTTTCCTCCGTGCTGCAGATCTCTCGGCGCGTTGTTCCATTGAAATTCAAAGGTGTTCATATCAAGGGGAAAAGTAAGCACAGCATGCTGTATGGGAAATGCACTCAGGGTAAGGGCACAGCTAAGGTACATACCTGAGGCGTGTACCATCCAACCGCGATCAAGCGCCTTACGGTAACACTATGACGTGCAGGAGAAGCACAGAAATTCGTCCGCACCAGAATAGCACACGCATGACGCGTGGTACCATTGGGAGCACGCGTCGTACTGGACCCATTGCACCGAATCTCCATGACCATCAACATCGTCCTCCTGATGACATACTCCGCATACATCCTCCGAAACGAAGCCCTGATTTCCCCGTTTCTGTCTCACAGGAACCCGGTAGCCCGTGGATGTCCGGGTGCGAAGGTTAAGGAATCATTTGCCCCTTAGCTCACTCTTATCCGGGCTGACCACCGTCACCCTGCACTTAAGGGGCGATTTCCGTTTCCTGGACCCACCTGTCGATGTTGCTGGAACAGGTGTTTCCGTTTCATTCGCACGCACCACCACATTCACCTGGGTACCTTGCAAAGGGCCACCCGCTTCTCCTGTCGACGTGGGGCATACCGCAGAGACTGAGCCACCATCAGACGTTCCTGCAGTAGGCAAGCCGCATAAGATGCGCACGTTCTCCTCGGTATCTAAATGAAGGGGTACAGGCCACCTTGACGTTCGCCCATACAACTGAAAAGTGGCGTCCTTCGACATCAGCAACGCTACCATTTTAGGTAATTCAACGCACCAGAGAAGTTCTGCGATCCGCAGATCACCAATTGAGCGCCAATGTCCCCCAATACATGCTGCGTTCTTCGAAGTTTCACCGTGCGGTTCACAACTGCATCGCTATCCACCGCGTTACGCTGCACAATCTGCACCGTCTCAGCTGATGTAACGGACTCCGATGACGCTGCTGAAGGTAGCCGGGGTGCGATCCACCGATACCATGGAGTATGTTCAGCGCAGAGTGAGTGTGACGCGCCGCCACATAACAGATGTGATCACATTGGAGCCGCCACGGCCGATTAAACTCACAATCGCATTCACTGTCCCGCGTTATGTACACTCGACGCACCCTCAAACGAGGACAGGTAACCAACCAGTAAGGCCCACCAGATTTACAGCTGAGAACCGTTGATGTACGGAAATGCCTGCATGAAAACATCGTCCGCAAAGTCGCTTAGTTGGGCGAAAGCTGAAGCCACTGAGGACACATCAGATGAAACAGCAATTGCACTCATGCACCGCCTACCTATTATGCTGTTCCTTTGGTGCACCATTGTGTTGACCCTATCAACCACGCAATTGAACAGAGCCAGTAGGGATGACCTCACCGACAGGTACCCCTTCAAATGTCTGTTCTCATTCTCTACCCTGTTCGTGGTGTGGCAGCCAAAAAGCACGGTATCCCTCAGTCTGTGGGCCGCCCAAGAGTCCGCGTGGGGAATCCACGTCGCGCACAAATAACGGTGCAATTCAGGATCCGCCCTGCCCACCGCTTTCAATATCCTTTCAAATACCGAGGCGTCACGGGTATATATGAGGTTATGAAGCCAAACTCTTAATTGCATTCTACGAGGATCAGAGATACCGCGTAAGCGGCCGCAACGTCCAGTCATGTCCACTTTAACATGGTAACGACAAAAAACCACCTTTGATTTCGGAGAAAAACGTCTGAACGCCCGGATCTGAGCAGCGCTTTTATCCATCACAACTGTGTGGCAACGTACTGTGCTAGGCACCATCTCCCTCATCGCCTCAACCGCTTGGCCATAACTGTAGGAAGTCTCATCCGGTAATAGGCGTAGAAAAAGGAAATACCCAGACCTGTGACATCCGCCAGCATGCAGTGCCACAAAATGTAGCCGCCATAATTCAGTTGATGGGTGGCATCGCATAATAGCACCTCACCATAACGATTTACAATGCCGCGAACTAACGATGGAGAGAAAAACACATAACGTATCTGACTACCCTCCGACACCAACCGACACACACCGTGTGCTTCCAACATCGTTGCCACGTCCGACACTTCACAAGCATTCGCATCCCGATGACGAATGCGCAAATTATACAGGTCAAGACGAGTTACCAGTTTGCCGTACTCTAAGTAGATAAAACGGCGCAAATCCGTGGTGCTATGGAAACTATCCATCAAACGCAAAACTTCCTCTATTGCTGCGGAGAAAGACGACGGTTCCGTGCATACAACCATGGGTTGCCCAAGTGAAAATCATGACTATGCGTCATGACGTAACTCCCCACTACATATTTCCCATCTTTGAAAACCACGGAGAAGCGAGCCTTGCAATCGTACGATTTGTATCTACAGGCGTTAGTGGCCTTGTTGCCAAAAAATTATACAACTTACCGCTTGCCACGTGGTCCTGAACGTTTACGATGAACGCAACGGTACATGATGTAACCGCAGCGTTTCCCATCGGGAACCGGCTTCCTCCCTTCCACGATGGTATGCCGCAGCAGACTTGGAAGATGCACGGGAAAAACAAGTCGCCGTTGCAATCTGAAAACGTTCCAACCGCTTCTCAAGGTCCTCAACACGTTCATACTTCCCAATAACCATAGACCTGAACAGCTCACCATCATCGACAACCATAGCGATGGCAGGAAAAACCAGTATGGCTACCGAAAAAAAACAAACACTCGCACATGCACCAATACAAGTTAACATTTCTACAGCATCGTTACTCACATACAATGTTATGTACAAAGCCATCTGAAACCTAGTTTACAGGTTTCACACATTCAACCACCTTGGCAATGTCAGCCACGGGTTCGGTTCCGTAGGTATGCTAGGCCAACTGGAGAGGTTGCCATTAAATGGCGGTTTGCATATATATATATAGTATATACATGTTAACCTGGTGTATGTTTTGTATTGAAGACGGTTAATGTGGTTCTCATAGTTAGTTGTTGTGACAGACTACAGGAGTATTGGAAATCACTTGGCGCCACATTTGTAACTGTCATCATGGTGGATGAATCTGAAAGATTCTGCGTTTTGGTGCGTAATATTATCGGAAACTTGATGAGGTTGAGTCCGATGTAAATAAATTTGCAACTGCCGCAGCTTTTTGCAAGCATACGGCTGTGATTCCACAGAATTATGAACGGCAAAAGTGGACGGGGTTGCCTAATGAGTACCCGTACTGGTACGTGCAGTATCCCTGTGTTCATGGCAGGCGTAGCAAGGTTCCTGGCAAACTGTAAGTTGCTATTTTACGGTATACAAAGTGCTACACCGTTACAGGATGCTGATTGCTGAGCCCATTTCTCTTTCATGTTGAATTTTACGAACGCGGGGAATTGCATATGTGTCATTGTCATGCTTTCCATGTTGGGGAGCCATGGCTATATCCACAGCACAGGTTGTTTACGGAGACACGGGAGAAAGAGGGGTTTCCCTGATGTCCGTGTTGCAACCGCCTTTGCATCAGTTCGTGGATCTCCCGACAAGATATATGCGCAACAAAATTCCGTCTACCTTTGCTTTCATTTTTTCGAAGTCGCATGATTTCGTACGTGATATTACATACAGCTATCCTCTAGGAGTCATTGACCATGTCTGCACATCCTTTCGATGTGCTCTAACTAAGTGTCATCAAGCTAACGCTGAGGCATGTCCAAAAATTTGGCGTGCAGAGTTTAACGCAATGTGAGACAAAGCTTCAGTTCTGCGTTGCGCGATCACCGTGGCTGGCACTGTTGAGACAGCCTGGGAGAAATTTAAGGCATCCCTCACCGAGATCTCTGCTCCCCACATCCATTCATTAAGATTAGGGCGACACGGGCGCAGCCTCCATGGACATATCATACAGGTAAATACTTGCTCAGGAAGCGCTCTAAGTGCTGGCTAACTTACCAAGCGCCTTCATCAACCAGCACCTACGAAAGCTATCTAGCGGTTAGCAATAAATGTAAGCATCATCTTAGAGCTCTTCGTTTTCAGTACGTGGAGGATATGGCTAACGCAGCGGTAACAAATCCAAAGAAGTTCTTTGCTTACGTAAAGAGACGTAGCGGTACAAACTCGTCCATACCGGCTTTACTACGAGCGGACGGGACCCATGGGCATACCGACTATGATAATGCCTGTATACTTAGCGAACAGTATACTGGTGTCTTTTCTCATGAGGCCTCTCTACCTCAAGTTGAGCTGGTCACAAAAGTTCCAGAGGATTCTTGCCTAACTGAAATCAGCATAACGGAGACACAAGTCTTCGGGCTATTGCAACGGCTAAATCCTTCCAAAGCTTCTGGTCCTGATTCAATTCATCCGAAGCTTATGCATGAATTGGCCGCTGAGCTAAGTGGCCCTCTTACATGCATGTTTACAATGTCAATCGACAGCTGTGCCCTACCTTCGGAATGGAAGAAGGCAATCATCTGTCCGATTTTTAAGGGCGGGGACAGAGTTCTGCCCGCGAACTACCGCCTGTCAGCTTAGTAAGTGTAGTAGTTAAGTTGTTTGAAAAATTGGTCAGGGATTCGGTGGAGAATCACCTGATTAAGTTTAACCTTCTCAGTGCGGCCCAGCACGGATCCCGTAAAGGATTTTCATGTCTGACAAATTTACTTGTAGCTCGTGAAAGCTGGGCTGAGGCAGTAGACAACGGTCACGCCATCGACGTGCTTTTCGTTGACTTCTCAAAAGCCTTTGATACTGTCCCACATCAACGACTCTCATTGAAGTTGAGATCGTATGGGATATCTGGAGCCGCCTTTAAATGGGTTTCTGCTTTCCTAGAGGGCAGAGAACAGTGTGTACGCGTGGGGCGTAGCCTTTCGCTTAGACAAGCTGTTCTTAGTGGCGTTCCGCAGGGCTCGGTTCTATGGCCGTTGCTTTTCACAATTTATGTCAATGACCTACCCCAGGAGCTTGAAGTACCGTCGCTATTGTTTGCTGATGACCTCAAGCTCTAGAATATTGTGGATATCCCTGGTGGCTCTGAGGCACTTCAGAGTGCCTTGGATAGGAGCTGGGATTGGTCAACCTTATGGTTGATGCCCATAAATCAGGCGAAATGTTCTGTCCTCCGCATTAGAGGTGCTAGTCCCCCCACGCGCTATGCAGTTGGTGGAAGTAAACTCCATGTTTCCATTCAGCAGGTTGATTTAGGTATCACCCATACCACCTTGCTTCACTCTGGGGAAAATTGGAGGAAGGCTGCTTGTAGAGGGTTCCGTATGATGTGGTTTATTCGCCGCTT